ACTAACAAGCCTCGTTCCTAGAAAAGTATCTCTCAACCAAACTACTTTCATTAAAGGAAGGAGTATAGTTGATAATACCCTTCTAGCTCAAGAACTGGTCAAAGGCTATGGTAGGAAATCTATTTCACCAAGATGTTCTTTAAAAATTGACCTCCAAAAGGCTTTTGATACCCTTCACTGGGACTTTATTTCTATTGTTCTCAAAGCTCTCAAGCTTCCTCAGAGATTTATCAATTGGATTGAGGCTTGTTTCTCCGAAGCTAGATTCTCAATCTCTTTTAATGGAAACTTGATAGGTTATTTTAGGGGAGCTAGAGGCATTAGACAAGGTGATCCTCTTTCTCCTATCCTCTTTGTTCTATCCATGAATATCCTTTCAAGCCTGTTTAACTTAGTTGCTACTAAAGGATTGTTCAATTACCATCCTAAATGCAAAAGAATTGGGCTAACTCATTTATCCTTTGCTGATGACTTATTAATCTTTTGTAAAGGAAATGTGGATTCTGTTGTAGGAATCATTTATGTTCTTGATCGTTTTTATGAAATGTCGGGTCTTAACCTCAATGCTGGAAAATGTGTTTTCTTTACTGCTGGTATTTCGAACAATAGCATTGATCTTATTAGAAGAGCTACTGGTTTCCACCACGGTTGCTTGCCTGTTAGATACCTTGGTCTTCCTTTAGTAATAAGAAAACTTTCTGAAAACGATTGTGGTCCTCTGATTGATAGTATTTAATCTAGACTCAACTTTTGGTCTAGTAAATTCTTGAGCTACGCTGACAGACTTGAGCTCATAAGAGCTGTTCTGTACAACATTGCTAATTACTAGTGCCGACAATTACTGCTTCCCCAGTTTGTAGTTAGAAAGATTGAACAGCTCTGCTCCCGTTTCTTTTGGAAAGGCGCAGATAAATCAGCTACTGGTGTGCGTGTCTACTGGGGTAATATCTGCCGATTGAATCGGAAGGAGGACTTGGATTGAAAGACCTCAAGTCTTGGAATAGAGCCTGCATAATCAAACTCATTAAAAATATTCTTGCAGGCGAGGGTTCTCTTTGGGTTGCATGGATTAATGCTTATGTTATCAAGGATAAGGATTTGTGGAACATGGATGGAGGCCCTAGCCTTAGTTGGAGCTTTAATAGAATTCTCAAACTCAGAACTACAGCTTTCCCTATCCTTTTGAGCGGAGCTTCCACCATTAGGGAAATTTGGCTAGAGATCCATAACAAGGAAAATAAAGTTCCCTGGCACAGCTTGATCTGGTTCCCACATCACATTCCTAAGCATAGTCTGATAGCTTGGATGGCGATTTTAGATAGACTTCCCACTCGTGATCGTCTTATTCGCATAGGGATTAATACCAATGGGATTTTTGTTCTGTGTAATGAAATGATAGAAAGTCGAAATCATTTGTTCTTTGATTGTTCCACTGCCTCTGTTCTGCGAGGAAAAATTCTGCTCCTCAACAGACTTAACAAAACATTCTCATCTTGGGATGACATGGTAACGTGGACTTGTAACACATGGAAAGGTAAATCTCTCATCTCTACTATCCTTAAACTTGCTTGGTGTGCTAACATTTATGTTTTGTGGGAGGAACGTAACCGAAGAATTTTCAAGGGATGTTCCAGAACTGCCGATGAACTTCTCAACAACATTAGAGACTTTGTAGGCATTAAGCTAAGTGGAAAAAACATAAATAGGCTCGACTATGTAAACTCCAACCTTTGTACTTCTTGGGGTATCTATTAACCGATCACTTTTTTTTTGTATTTAAGTAACTGTGTTCAGTGATTGGAAATTATTTTGTAGCAAACTTTGATTCTTTGGGTAATAAAATTATTCATTTATCCAACAAAAAAAATGAACGTAAACAAATATTATACGAATAGACAAGACGAAATCATGATGAAGAGAAACCTTGAAAATGAATAAGAGATAGAGAGAAGACCTGTGCAAGCTTTGAAGTTTGTCCATGATATAAATGTCATCTATGTTCGCGTCCGTTCATCTACTAAATGAGTCGTTTATTTATCTCAATAAATGAACGTAAACAAATGTTATACGAATAGACAAGACGAAATCATGATGAAGAGAAACCTTGAAAATGAATAAGAGATAGAGAGAAGACCTGTGCAAGAGGATTGGCCTGGAGACCTCTGGAACCCAGAGAACAAAGAAGGACCAGAATCAAATTTGTAACCTTTAATCTCAAAAGAATGGGCAGCACCACCAGGAAGATCATGACTTTCCAAGACCAGCACATCCTGGTTGTACCTAGCAAGAAGTCCACCACAACACAGCCCACCAAATGTGATTGCAAGCTGAAGAATTCTTAAGCTAGATACTTCTACACCCTTTTATGTGCTTTTAAAGTAAGCAAACATAAAGCCAAATGTGATTTGGACAACATATCGATTCACTTTTGTTTTTTTTTCTTACATTGTTGCAGAGATTAGAAGGGTCTCCGGTCTTAATCCTGGTTTTGCAGATCATGAGAGAATTGAGCATAATAGTCCTTTAAGGTCATTGGGTCAACATCCTAATGCGAGGCAGATGGATTTAGATGGATGGTCTGTAATGCAAACAGAGGTAACGCCGTTTAATTATTGTATAGAAATTTGTTCTTAACTTGAATGATTTCATTCTCATTAATGTTGAATCAAAGGAAAATGAAAATTCTTTAATGTATTTTTCCTGCTTCAGGAAAACAAGCATCTGCTACGAGTTGCTTCGATTCAGGATGCATTAGTGGGTTGGCCTGGTTTGCCAGGAGTCCCTACCACACCAATTGTAAAGAGAGTTGTTAGACTTGATGTACCTGTGGATAAATATGTGAGTTATTTTTTAAGGTAGTTTTTTTGTTCACCACCTTTTAACAGTTCCGACTCGGCGGCTTTTCAGTATAATTTTGTTGGCTGAATTTTGGGACCACAAGGGAACTCCCTCAAGAGAGTTGAAGCCCTGACCGAGTGTAGGGTGTACATATGAGGCAAGGGTTCCGTGAAGGTATGGATTCTTTTAGTACCAACATGTGATTTCGGTAACACTGTGTAGTCGTAAGTATGTCATACGTCAAGTCTTAAGCTTCTTCTTGCTCTGTAATTTGTTCAGATTCTGATTATAATGGAAGTGCTGTCTATTTTATTCACTATTGTGCTTAGTTACTGAAAGAAGTTACTTGCTAGATATACAATCATGCATAAGCAAGTTCCAACTTAATTAAAGATAGCCAACGACTAGCTTAACGAACTGCAGGTTGAAGTGGAATTTTAAATCTTCAACATAAGTACGAGATCGGGATTCCATCGTTGCTTTGCTTCAGTTGTTATTCATTTGTACTTCATTTAAAATTCTTACAACTGGTTGGTTCCCTTTCGATAGGAAGAGAAACTGAAAGATAAACCCGGATACGAACATCTTAACGAGCCACTGCACTTGTTGGTGGAGGCTGAATTTCACGAGAATGTGGTAAATTCTCGCTTGGACCATGCTGTTGGCATACTAGAAAACCTTCTGAAGCCTATGGTACAAACAAAAGCAACTTGTGTTCTTCTATATTATGTTAACCTTCTTTTTTCTATTTGTTCTATCCCTTCCTTTTATCTTCAGGATGAATCCTTGGATGACTATCAGAAACAACAGCTTAGGGAGTTGGCTTTACTCAACGGTACATTGCGGGAAGAGAGCACAAGTGTGTTGCCCTTTAGCAGTACCGGAATGAAACGGGCCAAGACAGGAAGATGACCTTATTGCCTAAACTTAGGGATGTTGAATTAGGAAATTATCTAGTTAAACTCCTGTCAGTTTCTGCACATCGATAGTTCTCCATCTCGGTTTCCTTCTCTGATAACCCCTGTTTTATCACTTCTCATCCCCTCTACATTGCTTCATTAGTTACCGCTGATAGCCTCTTCGGTAATTACTTTAGCCATGTTTTTTCTGCTTCCGAGTCTCGTAACGCCTAATGTACTCGAATATTCTTTTGCACTGATAGTCTCACAATATTATCATGCATATTTCTACTTATGCATGCCTTTGATTATAAGATACAATGTGGTCAGTCATTGTATTGTATTTTTTACTTCATAATAAGTATTTTCTTTTGTTGTGTTTATTTTGGTAGTCTCTGCCTGCAACTGAACTGAGATGTGTGTATTTGTAATGCATCTGTTCATAATAGAACAACTTAAGGAATTTGTGTCCAGGGGGCTGGATCCGTTTTGGTTCATATTTTAGAAAAATTATTTGGTAAATTTAGTAGTCAATGTTTATACTCTTTTGTCAAATTATTCCTTTTTAGTACTATTAAATTTGGGCTTTAAAACTTTTTTAAAAAGACAGTTTTTTTATTAAAATATTAACCAAAACATTAAATAACGGATTTAAACTCAGTTAATATCATAATTCTACAGTTATGGACAGCATGAAAGGAACTCTCATCTGTAACCAAGCATGAATGGATTACAGAGTAGAAATGTGCATGAAAACTCGTGAAACTCGCGCTCCCTAGTCCTTATGATCACAATAATTCAAAGATTCAATTACCTTATTCATACCATCGTCAAACTCAAAACTTCGATTCTACGGGAAACACGAAACTCTAAACTCAAAACTCCTAGAATCAGGGTATGGTACACACTTGAAGTCACAAGCAAATGTTTTATTATTAAATTGAATCAGAGGCAGACAATGAAGGAAACTCGACCATTATAGGATCAGGGTACCTCCCCTCTGAAAATGTGGTTGCATATAGTTTTAAAAAAAGTGAACTATCATTACAAATAGTACAGCTTATGGTTGAAATTTTATCTTACCTCACCACAGGGTATGCTTGAATCTTGATATATGGCCACTAGAAAACCGAGTTTTCTAAAACAACACGAGCCAGCAATGCTATTTCGGAGTGCATATCAAAAGCTAAAAAGGATACATAAAGGGAGGATAAAGTGCAAAACCAGAAAATGTAATCAGATAACAAAAATCAATGAACAGAATCAACAAAAGTAGCCCAAACAAAAGACGCACATTCTCTACCCTCCTGCATGGATAGGAACTCAAAGAGCAGACTGACAGACGCATATGGATATAACTCGAGTTTCAAGCTTTAAACATGAATGAGGAGTGCATATTATACTGAAGCTCAAAGTTCCATATCAGTAGAAAGGATTAAAATGTTCTTCCTTAACCATTTACTCAATCATTACGTGGTATTCAACTACTAGAATACAGACATGGGTAATGGGAAACTATTTCCTCCCATCAAACAAAACAAGGGATGCAACTGAATCAAAATAATTGAGGACCACCGAAAAAGTTTACTCACACACCTCAAATAGGACGAGCTCAATTTACAAATGATGCTGTCACTCTCGAAGGCCAAGTTCAAACTCAAGTTCATCATCTTCTTCAAAGAGCTTCAAAAGACGGGCATATTGTTCATCTCGTTTCTTCCTTTGCCACAACTTGAAAAGGAAAAATGAAATCAACCCTACTGCAACAAACCTGCACAATACGATGACTATTATGGCTGCGGTATTACTATTTGTTTTTGAGCTGTTGTCTGAATTTTTGGAGTCATCAGAAAAACCTGAAAAAGGAAACAAATCGAAGCAAATTGTTTAACAGATTCAATATGAATGATCTTTACTTTTAATCTTCGTTACAGTAACTTAACCAGTATCCCAATAAAATTCAATGAAGACTAAAAAGCAAGACTAAAAAGGTCTAACACAATAGTTTCATGTGGAATCCTTGCAATCTAATACCAGAATTTCCCAAAATTTCATGGAAATTGGATTTAAGAGGGTTAAGTTAGAACTTTGAAGCAAAAACTTAATCTGAATCATGCTATTGTTACCGCTGAAGATACTAATTTTTTACCCATATTATTATTATTATTATTATTATTATTATTATTATTATTATTATTAAATATATATTAAACATATATATATAAATAATAATTACAGACCAATTACAACTGGACCGACCCAGTTACAAACAAACCATAACCGGTCCAAATCAAACCAGAAACCCTAAACATTTGGGTTTCCAGTTAGGGTTTCCTAACCCTAATCTAAACCAGCCGCCATCTTCAATCCCAGCCGTTGGATCTGGTTTGATCCAACGGTCCACAGTTTGCCAGAGGAAACCCTAGGGTATCTATACCCTAGGGACACGTCCCAGCACCGCCGCTGCTGCTTCCAGAAGCCTTCACCGCCACACCAACGTTCCAGCCTCCACCACGTCTACCAAAGAATCCAGAAGGCCGGCCGTAGCCGCACACGTCTCCCCCAAACGGTGAGTCACCACTGGGAGTCCGGTGACTCACCAAAGGGCATTCTTCGGACCGGTCCGACGGCTACAACGGTGGTGGCTATAAAAACCACCACCCCAACCTGAAAAAAAAAAAGACACACAAAACCGGAGAGAAAGAAAAAAAACAGAGAAAGAAAAAAAAAACAACTAAACCAACGATCTCAGTCAGCATCAACGCAGCAAGAAAAAAAAGAGAGAAGAGAGGAAAGAAGCTTACCCTATCATTGGAGAACCCCAACCGTCGCCGGATACAACAAAAACCGAAGGTATATTTGTAGATCTGCTCCGATTGAGAGCTTTTTAAGGAAAAAGAACCCCGGAAACGGTTTTAGACCGTCCCGATCTATATTCTGGTAGATTTTTGTAATTTTCGGCCACCATTAACGGTGGCCGGCAGCGGTGGTCGGAGCCGATAGCGGTGGCTGACCGGAAAGGCTTCTCTCAGTTTAGAGAGAAGCCAGAGAATTCTTCTCTCTGTTTGAGAGAAAGAAAAAAAGAAAAAAAAGAAATGAGATAGCTGGCCCTTCGGGCCAGCCGGTTTGGACCATATATAGTCCTTCCCAAACGACGTCGTTTCGGGAAGGACTATGCGCGTAATTATAAAATAGTTAAACCCCGTCCGCAGTCCTCCGAAATTGTAAACTTTACATTTTAGTCACTAAATTGAATTTATAATAATTTTAATTCAGTCTTCGAATTTTAATTTTATTTATTTAAGTCCTTTTTATTAAAATAATATATTTAGGATAAATAACAGATTTAATCCCTCAATTTTAATAAATAATATTTTAATCCTTAGTTTATATTTTTAATTTATTTTATTATAATACCCTAATTTTAGATAATTTTATTTTAGTCACTAAATTATTAAATAAGAAAATAGCATGTTTAATCTCTATAATTTTGGTTAATTATGAATTAGATTTTTAATTTTATTTTTACTGTAATTTAGTCAGTTATTTTATATGTTTGCATTTATTTTATTTAAATATATTGTTTTAGTAGTATGTTTATTATATGAATAAATATTTTTATATATTCATATATATAAAAATAGTAATTTTTAAATATTTATTTTAATATCGAAGAAAAGGACAGTCTCAAAACAACTGGATGTCCTATTCTGATGTTTTAAAATTAAAAATTAAAACAATATTATTTATCAATATCAAAGAAAAGAGCTGTCTTAAGGCACCTAGAAGTTCTTTTCTGATATTTTTAAATAAATAAATATTTTTTATATAATTTTGAAATAATAAGATTATAAATTAAATATATTTTTGAATTTTTAAATTTTAATAATAAGAGACAATTTATAATTAAAAAGTATCAATTTTGGGCGTTGTAGGGGTGCTAATCCTTCCCTAAACGTAACCGACCACGAATCCCTTTTTATTAAAAAGAATGAATTTTTGGTTATAAAACGTAGATCAGTTCATTTTTTATTAGTGTTTTCTTAAAACTCTTTTAAAAAATAATTTTTAGGTATTCGACCTACCTGACCCAAAAGGCCGATGGCGACTCCCAAATTATTTATTTTCAAAATTATTTATTCACATCAATTTTCCCGCCAAATTTAAAATTTCGTGCCCGGACGAAAACCGGTTACGACAGCTTGGCGACTCCGCTGGGGATTGGTCAAACTTTTAAAAATCAATTATAAATTGTCTCTATTAATTAAAAATTAAAAATTTCTATATTTAATTCTTTCTTTTCAAATTTTTATTTATTTATTATTATAATATTTATATGTTTTATTTTATTTGCAAGTATTTTATTTCATTATTTTTCTGTCAAAGGTTTGAACATTTCTCCTCACACACAACACTTGCATTGCATAACATAAAGCTCTATAATTGAGTTGTCCCTTTTAAGTGGGAGTGAAAGCGACGTCTTCGTGAGAATTTATTCTCCGTGTCAGACCTAGCAAGTAACTTTCGGGGTTCATATACTCTATGTTTTCGTGAGAATTTATTCTCCGTGTCAGGCATAGAGAAATGTATCCCCTCGAATTGAACTCGATCCACTTTAGTCTGTAATGGACTAGGATTGAGGGTTAGCAACCCAAGGGAGCACTAACAAGGACAATTCGGGTACCTTTATTCTTAGATCTGAAACCTTGCATATAAAAAACCTTAGAAACTCTTCCGATCCGAAGTCATGCCAAAATTTTGTCCAAAATAGGTGTACACACAGGAGAAATGAATTCTGTCTTTCCTGTTAATTTATTTATTGTTTAAATTACATGTTTATTTAAATTATTTAAATTCAGAAAAGCATGTTTAAATAAAGAATATTTATGTAAATGTTAGTATTAAATTTCTTTATTATGTAAACTAATTTATTTTCTTTTTGTGTGTTCTTTATTTTTCTGTTTGCATAGCATCATGAAGGATAAAAGACATTGATCCTTGTGTTAATTGTCTCATTGGAAAGCCTTTATCTATGGATAAAAAGTGTTCAAGTCAAGTAATTCTAAACTCATAAGTAAGACAATGGGCTGAGGATTTACAAAGACAAGAAGGAGACAGTTTGCAGGATGATTATGTATCTGACTTGGCCATTTATGCTTCAGTTTCACTAAAAAGAAATGATATGCAAGATTTGCGAAGCATTTGGGAAAGTTGGGATTCAAACAAAAAATTGTAGTTTTATCAGACTTACGGAGACATCCCATATTTGCTCTATGTTGAAGTTGATGATGAATTACTCAGAGCCCTAGTTCAATTCTGGAATCCAGGGTACAATTGCTTCACTTTCAATAAGGAGGACTTGGTCCCTACTATTGAAGAATATACAACTTTGTTACATCTTGAAGGTGCTTTGGAGAATCGAATATATTCAAAGTCAATTAAAACTCAACCCTTTCGAGTTAAATTAGCAAAGATTGTCGGGGTACGAGAAGAATGGGTAGCATCCCGTACAAAACAAAAAGGCGAAAGCGAAGGCATTGCTTGGACCAACATCAGAGAACTTATTCAGAGCCATCCAGATATTAAAGTACGATTCGATCTATTTGCTCTGGGTATATATGGTATGGTCATCTTCCCAAAAGTATTGGGATATATTGAAGCTGCAGTGGTAGACTTGTTTGAACAGCTACCGAAGAAGATTAATCATGTTTCTGCAATCCTAGCAGAGACCTTCAGATCGTTAAATGCTTGCAGAAGGCTAGGAGGTGGACGATTCTCAGGGTGTACCCAGTTGTTATATGTTTGGATCCGTAGTCATTTCTGGAGAACAGAAAAGGTTTCATACCGACGCTTTAATACGGATTATTCACCATTAAAAGAATTTCTGGAGCAGGAATGGCCGAAAGAAATTAAGAAAGATATGTGGATTAATGCCTTTCGAAATCTGCAAAGCAATGACGTTGTTTGGCGAGCCCCGTGGCAAATACAAAGGGAATTCTTTTACAGGTGTGGTGATTACAACTGGATAATGCTGCTCGGATTATGGGGAGGAATTGGATATGCACCACTTTTGGTTATAAGACAGTATGAAGGTCGTCAATTTGTACCTGTCACTGCTGGACTACAGTCATCTGAGTTCGCATTCCACAGCAAAAATTATAAAAGAAATATCATGGAAGCCGTTACAGCTTGGAAAACAACTTTTTGTATCCGAGCTAAAGCAGCAAAATAAATGCTAACTCCTGATTATGAAGATTGGAGATCTGTCAGAAAAAACGAAAATATTCCTCTACCAGATCAAAATGAGGATATTTCTATGGAAGATCGCATTAAGGTGGTTCCATCAGAGATTGAAATCTTGAGAGCTGAGTTTGAAGCAGAAAGAGATGGCTGGTCGAAAGAGTTAGAGCAAATGAGACAAGATAAAGCTATGTTGGGGGTTGACATTGACTTTCATTCATCACAATGTGCAATGTTGAGAAAAGATAAAGAAAAAGGTGAGGATGAGTACAGAGCCTTACAGAAAAATTACCAGGAGTTATATAAATCCCGAAAAGCATCAGGACCCAGCCAATCGACGGTACAGATGACCAGAGAATTGAACATTGAGAAAAGACGAGTTGAAGATCTGAAAGGAAAGAATAGCCGTCTACTCAAAAGCCTGGAAAAAGGAAAGCAAAAAATGGAAGATTTTGAGGTCGACAGAAGAGAGCGAATTATAAAACACAAGGCTGAGCATCGCGAGATCATGAATGAAATGCAAAGAGAAAGAGATAGAGCCAAAGATTTAGAAGAAATGAAGAATGACATCTTTAATAAATTTGAAGGTGAGAAAAATATCATGTTCAAGGGATTT